ATCCTGTTCAGTTTCTCCTGGAGCAGACAGGGCCGGATGGTATTAAAGGCACTGGAAAAGTCAAGAAACAGGATCCTGACTGTGCCTTTTAATACATAATCCTAAACAGGTGACTTTGTTAGGAGGCTGACTTATCATTGTAACTCCTATTAATATTTGTACTTTCTTTTTCTGTTGCTTTTTATATCAGAATCTGCTACTGCTACAGCACATGGAAAAAAAGACAAAAATATACCAGTATTGCTTTGTTGTAGCTTATGTAAATAACATTTTTCTTTCTTTCCATTCATAAAACCAAACCTGATTCAAATGAAATGATGACTAATACAAAGAAGCAAAATTCACACAGTTGCTCCTTTGGTTGCACGTATTGGTTGCCTGTTTTTCAAGATTTAAATAGTGACAAATGACAGTTTCCACTCTTCCTTCCGAGCTTTGAGCTGAACTGATAATGATCTTTCCAGCTTTTACCAATGGGTCCTGCCAGACAACAAGCTGCAGTGTGGCTTGCTGCATAATTTATAAAGGCAGATGTACAAGGTGGGTTATTAGCTCCCCATGCTACACTGCTTCTCTGATTTACAGTTAAAGGAAGCAAGGAAAAACAAATAGAACATATAAACAAATCAAACTACTGAAAAGTTTGTGTCTTACTGGGTGAATATGTATTCAAAATGAGTAGGTATGGAGGGGGAAGGGAGAGAAAAAGCACACAGCGGTCAATTAGTGCATGTTGGTGTGATTGTTAATGATGCCTCACAATCAGCTTTCTGAGTGGGAAAGGCGTGCTACTTCTCATTATAGGATATGGATCTCCCAAGTTTGCAGCGGTTATTAGGTATTAGGCAACAAATAGGTGGCTATCATGCAGGACATGGGGCCAAGATAGTGCTGTGTAAATGAGAGCCTTTCTTGTCCATAATGAGCCTAACTCACTGTTTCTCCTTCTCTCGTGGTCTTCTTCTGAGCTACCCCACCCCACAGGGACTCTGTGGTTTATGATAATGGAGCTCTGAGGGTAATATACATTTTAATGCTCCATAATGGGAAGAGATAGAGAATGGCAGAGGAGGAGAAAGAGGAAGAAAAAAACGAAAAGAAAAACAGTGGGTGGATTAGAAAAGGCCTTCACTATGGCTGTCTCAGCTTTAAATTAATGAGGAGGCTCAGCACGCTACGATAAATTTAGCTTTTCATGTGTAATTATGCTATGACTGTGGAGGTTCACTGAGGATGAATCACACAATTATTATGCTTCTCACCCATCGCTTGTGCTTTTTCCCCCCCATTCTTTTTTTCTCCTGCCATCTATTTGTTTATTCATAAGCCAATGTCTTTTCTTAATAGTTTTTTTCTTATGAGAGGAAATAAGACCAAAAGCCCTGTCTGTGTGAGAGGAAGCAGACAAAGTGAGAAGGAAAACAGTATGTGAGCAAATCTAGTGGAAGAGAAATAAGAAAAAGACAGACAGAGATAGTTGCTGCTTACATTGTTATGTCTGTGAAGGTTCTCAGTCATCCAGGTCATCGTAGTCAAAGGAGCTTGCAAAGAAAAGCGTCTGGACTTCTTTAAGTTACTTGAAGACGTTT